TTAAAAATCTTCTTTGAAAAAACCCCAAAATAACTAGAGTTTAGATATTAAGCATGGCAACATCTTTAAGTAAATATCTACAAAGTTTTTCAAATAAAAAAGCCCAGGGGTCAAAACTGGCCCTGCCCGAGGGGTGTCATTGTTTTTTACTCTATGTGTATAGTAAAAACTTAAAAAATCTTCTTTAAAAAACCCAATGAGCTAGAACTTAGATGTTTTGCATGAAACATCTTCTTATGGGTGTCTACCAAGTCTGTTCAAATAAACAAAATAAAAGCCCTTGGGTAAAAATTTGGGCCGGGGGGGGGGGGGGCTATATACAGGTGAGCGACCTTCGAGGGCCATTCATGGCCCTCTTGTTATTGTGCAGGTTAAAGTGATGTTCTGTAATCCAACACACAGTGCTATGTTACCATGTAAATATTTCCTTGGAGGAAGTTGTAGATTTAGTGAAGGAGAATGCAGGTAAAGGGAGATAAAGACCATTTTCAAATTCTAATTAGAAGTTTAAGGAAGTCTTACTCTAATGGGATTTTTTTTTAAAAAGACTTAAATCCATTATAATTTTGCAAAATTATATGTATCGGGTTATTTGCTGATATGATCAAGAAGAATTTAATGGATTTCAATAGCTAAAATCAATTTTAAGAGTATTACATATGATTACCTTTTTTTGCACTTTTTTCATAAAAAATGACAATGAAATATCAAACTTTAAAATATGTATATTTAAAAAAAAATACAACAATACCAATTTAAAACTCTACAACAATAAGTATATTTATGCTTCACTTCAAGAATAAAGAACAGAAAAAAATGTCTGTAAATTGAATGAAAAATGATTTAGTTGGGAAAAAAATCAGAAATATCATTTTATAGCAAAATGGAAAATCCAAAATTCATATGTGAAGGAAACCAAAATAAGATAATGTGTATATTATTATATATTATATTATTTTATACTTTGATTTATTAGTTGAAACACATTTATTTCAATATTTAATAATATTTTACATTTCTTATAATTATTATATATAATTGAAAGTGATAAGAACAGAAGAGAACTTTTATAGTTCATCTCCCTTTTTTATTAATGAGCTCAAATAAGACAACTTTGCCCGATAAGATTTGTTAACAAGGGGTCACTGGTAAGATCCTTAGTGGATTCTTTATATTCCTAACAGTTGATCTTTGATTGAGTCTAATGTTCATTTGTCCTTAACTACTAATTTAGGAATCTTTTGGTATTAGCAGACGATAACTTTGGATGAAATTGATAATTACTGGCTCATTATCCAGGAAATCCTGTATGACTGAGTGACCGCTGAGATATCACCCAAAGTACGTTTACCGTAAAAATAAATACACCATTATAATGTGTGAGCAAAAAATTTGCAATTATTCATATTTTGAAGCATAACCTTTAAACCTTTAATTCTTAAGTTAACAAGAATCCATGGTTCTTTAACATTATATTCCAGGTATAGTCATGGACATGAAGTAGCTTTAGAAGACCTTCAAGAATATCAGGATCCAGATCATAGGTAGGTTAGATATTTACTAGATATATCAGGATCCAGATCATAGGTAGGTTGGATATTTACTAGGAATATCCGGATCCAGATCATAGGTAGGTTGGATATTTACTAGGAATATCCGGATCCAGATCATAGGTAGGTTGGATATTTACTAGATATATCAGGATCCAGATCATAGGTAGGTTGGATATTTACTAGGAATAACAGGATCCAGATCATAGGTAGGTTGGATATTTATTAGGAATAACAGGATCCAGATCATAGGTAGGTTGGATATTTACTAGATATATCAGAATCCAGAATTTATAGGTCGGTTAAACATATACAGAGAATATCAGGCAAATATAATATCAGAACAAAAGGAAAATAATTGTTTTTCCTTATCAATAGACTATTCATTAGGAAGGTCTATGTTTCAGGTTATTATGTTGCTTTGACAGGGGTTCAAATATAATGTCAGTACTGTGGTCCTACATATTACCTGACAAAATATGATGTTTTTTCGCTGTAACTTTAATTTAAAACCATGAAAAACAATGAAATTTTACACAATCGATTTTGGGTTCCTAATTGGCGTTAAACTGACCTTATCAAACACGAAATTTAACATTTTAACCATAAAAATGTGTCTTCAAAGTGGGGCATTATTATAGAAAAAAAATTGTGTAGACAACTCAATTTACCGGACATTTTGTTTTATAATATTTTGAAGTTGTGAATTGAAATTAATCTTTTAATAATCAGCAAGGAAATTACACCTGTTGAATGGCAAGGTTAAGATTCTGGAAAAGCCAAAGATGTTACTAAAAATAGACACAGTATCCATGCTTTTTACGAAGAGGCCTATATATGGGGTGTAATGGAAATTCACAATATTAACTCAATGATCGTATTGATTCTTCATAAATCAGTAAACGTAAATTTTGATATTCATTTGTAATTCTGTTCTTTGTCATACAATTTCATTTTCATGAAGCCAGTAAAATCCAGATAATATATTTTATTTACATTTCATGTAGAGTTTCCTCCCTTGGTTTTAAAAATCGGATGTGACCTGTTTCCTAATGTAGTTTTTACTTTGCATTTCCCTATAAAATACAACAACAAAATACTGTCTGGATTAAATTTAAATATACTTTTTATCATTAAAATATGATATGATTGTCTTGCTGAGATAATGCAGAGAAGATATAATAGTAAAACCTGTCTAAAATAACCCATTAAGGGCCTCAATATTTTGGCATATGCAGAACACATAATTCCCCCGCATGACCAGGTATGAAATTAAATAGTAAACGAAAGGGCATGTAATTAGATAAAGAACTGAATCAACAATATTTACATGAGAGTGGTCTTGTTGTTATTTACTTTGAAATTGAAAATGTGTGTGCAATTCAGACCGGATGGCTTTTGATTTGAAACAAAAATAAAGCAATATTAGACAACAATAGATTTGTCCAGTAAACTGATTGACCGGTAAAAATGAAGGATCCCAGTACACATTAATGGCTTTACAACTTGAGAAATACATAGTGTGAAATTTGGTAAAATCAGTTTAAAAGGAGGTAAATCAGTGTGAATTCAGGAAAAATTAAAGGTCCTGTAACACAATTTTTTCATGGTTTTATTTCATAAATATGATGCTCAAATTAAGATTTGTCAATATTGTAAGTTCCAATAAGCATTATTTATAAAGATATTAACCAATTTAACATTTCATGTAAATACATTGTAAAGGGAGGTAATAAGAAATTTATTTTCTATAAATTCTAAGTCAAATTTTCCAATAAGAAATGAATGCAGGTAATTTATTGATTAAATATGATGTGCACAAATATTTGCAGTACACATTTTACATATTCTTCGATGTTTAAAATTATTTTATTTGCATAATTATATACATATATAATTTTTGGCAAGTGTGGTATACACACAGTAACAATATCATTCACAAAACATACAGGATCTTTAAGGTGAGTACAGTGTAACTTCTGAAAACCGAACACCTGAGGGACTAGCCAAAAAGTTCGGAATTTGGAAGTTTCCGGAATTCAGAAGTTCGATATTATCTAAACAAGAGGAAACATTCGGATCAATTGTTTAAGTAAGACATGAAGAAACATATAATTATGAAGCTAATTAAATTCATAAAATGGCAAATGTATAGGACTTTTAAAAAGTTTATAACTACATTGTATATCAAATTTCATTATCACATATAACTGAATTTGTTGATACAAAACCATAATGTATAATTTATTGAGTATATTCCACGTACCTATTTACCTCTAATTTTTTGTTTTTCATCATATTATACTTCTCATTTTTCAATTTTCACACTTTAATAAAGTGTTTGACAGGTTGTGATTCTAATAGGTGTCAAGATAAATGGTTACTGCTAATTTGAAATAATGACATTTTGAAGGTTTTACACAATCTCAATTATAATATTCCTTCACACCTTTTTCAATTTCCGGATTTTGGAAGTAAATTTGAATTGATATAACCCAAATTTTACCAGAAAATCGTTCGGAATTCAGAATTTAGAAGTTCCGGTATTCAGAGGTATTTATTACATAGAAAACAGAAGGAGAAATTTCGGGACCCTGAAAAATGTTCGGATTTCAGAAGTTTCCGGATTTTAGAAGTTCTGGAATTCGGAAGTTACACTGTATATGTATTTCATCTTTTGGTAATGACTGTATTCTCATCCCAAACTTATAGGTATAAATGATGATAAATGTAGATAAAAAGCTTTTATCACTCAGAAAATCTAAAATATGATGAGACTTAAATAAACTGTATTATTTTTTTCATTATTTCAGTATATTGAAATTAGAGTCTCGTTGCCTGGCGAGGTACGAGGATGATGATCTATGGTATAAAGCCACTATAGTTGATCTACATGATGAGGGCACTACTGTAACATTTGATGATTATAATGATACACCTCTATATCTATGCTTCGAGGATATACTTCCCTTAGGTGTTTACATTTTCATCAAATTTTGTAAACATTTCAGTGTTGTTTATTAGTGCCTAACCACTTACTTTGATTTTTACTGATTATTACTCTGTACAGGGACTACCTTGGACTGAAAATTTAGGGAGAGGTGACTTCACCCTGCAAATAGGGTGATGTGAAAATATTTTTGGCGAAGTTTTCTCCCGACTTCGCCCTAAACACAGTTCCTGCTCTGTATATAACAAACATCTTGTACCACATTGCAAAGTGTGATTTTCTTAACTGTTAACCTGCTGAACTTTTGTATGATTTGTCCTGCATTAAATCTGGAACAATCCATTTGAATTTCAATATCAAAATACAAAAATCAAGCTAACAGCAGTAGAGAGCCTGGCTCTGTACTGGTTGCAAAAGTTAATAACTTTGGTTACAGGAGGTTAATGGAAAAAAAATATGATAATAGGCTATCTAGCTACTGTAAAATCAGATGATTTCATGAGGCCAAAAATTTGCCAAATCAACATTTTGGACTATTGGGCAAAGTTAAATATTTGCAAATCCCTACCCTCAGTTCTGTGACAATTATATTGTTGATACTCAGTGATTTTTCTTGCTTAATTGGGAAGAGGCCTTAGCCTCTTGAATTTGGGAAAAATTATCGCTAAAATTGCTTATTTGGGAAGAAAAAAAGCAGGTTTAAGTTCAGATTTTTGGGAAAACTGCATGATTTTAAAGAAAATTTCAATTGGGAAGAGGCCCTTTTTCGGAGTCTGTTATATAAGTAGGAAAATCACTGATACTTATTTAGCAAATATTTATTTTACCGAGAATCTTTTATTTGTGAAATTAGCAGAAAATTTAATCCCTTGGGAAAATTTCTAATTTTACAGTACTGTTTACCAAAGCTGCATAATCTTAGTAAATAAAGCATGAATCTTAATTTACCTGTAGAAAATGGAAAGTCAGCATTAAACACAAATAGTCACTGATTTTGTGGATGTCAATGCCAACGAAATCAATGACATGCAGCCTCTTGCTTATGAAATATTTCTATTATAGTTTTGGAACTAAGTGTCTTGTTTACAAATATAAAAAAGTATATGTGTGTAGAGTTTTAATTATTTATTCCTTTTTCAATTGCTTGAGCTTCAAATAATTTTGATTGAAATAGAATCTTATTTCTTTTATAGTATTTATTGTAAGATTGAAAGTCAAGGATAATTGTTTATTTTAGGTGACAATGTAGAAGAATCCAGTGATTCTGATGAAGGTCCAATCAACAGACAAGATTCAGATGAAGATGATGAACTTCCTGTGTTTCTATGGAAACCAAAGTCACATGGTCTTGGTGATCTAGGTCAGTGGGAAGCTCATACAAAGGTAGACTTTTCAAAATTTTTTTTTTTTTGTCCAGTGTCTGGGATTCAAAGATTTAATGTTGGATTTTTGAAGTATAATGAAATGTATTAAATTAGAATTATTGAATGTTTGTCTATTTTCAAAGCATTTCTGGTATAAAACCGTTGCTTTCCTACATTTTTGTTAAAAAATGTCATATCTTTTAAAAGCTGATAGAAAAAATAACAGAGATCTCTCGAAATACCACAGTGACAACATGGCCAGTATCAAGGCTTAGAATGAAACAAAACTGTGGCACATTGGTTAATGTCGCATACTTATACAATGTAATAACTTGCCTTTCACCACTGTGGGTTGAAATCTTGTCAAGAACTTTATTAGATTCTTTCATGTAAAGCATCTATCCAGCAAGCTTGCGAAAGGTCAGTGGTTCTGCTTGGGTGACCTCTCATGCCTGAAGTAATGAACAAAAGGGCACCTGAGCTCATCCTCTGCTGGGAAAGTGACCATACAATAAAACAATCAAGTAACTGCTAGTCTTTTATGTTTAGACCAAAAAGGTATTATTTGGTATTTCAACAATGTTTAAGTATATGCATTGTTTATACTATTATTGCAGGGTATAGGAAGTAAATTATTGACCAAGATGGGTTATGTACCTGGACAAGGGCTTGGTAAGGCCGGAGAAGGTCGTATTCAACCAGTTCCCATACAACTTCTTCCTCAAGGTATATCAAATTGTATATTATCATTTGTATTAGTGCCTAAATTTATTATATACATGAAGTTACAGTTTGACTTTTAAGAAATATTGACTCACCCATGTGTAAATGGTACATCAAGATTATTTAACTGTTTGAGTGCAACTATTTGCTAGTAGGAAAGTTATCTTAATCACATTGATGTCAGTGATGTCACACTTTTGTGAGTTACTGTTTTTAATTTTGTGTGGATTCACTATTATGTAGATTAACTTTTGTGTCACTAAGCAAGTTCATAACTCAATCATTGGCTTTTGTAAATTAGTTATTGTTTTGCTTGCAATGTCAATCTCTTGTAGTGCACAGACCAACATCTATAAGTAGCAGTCCTAATTAAACGATATATCGCATTTTAACGGATGTTTTCATACAAATTTAATCTTTTTTTATGAGATGATTACTTTTTACTGAACCTCAAGCCTAGTGCACCATGAAGTTAAATGGTTAAAATGTGTTCGCACAAGAAAATCTCATATTTGTTGTGTTCCGGATAGCAGCTATAACACTGTGACGTAGCGCATATAATCTTTATTTGCATGTTAAAATTTGTATACGAACTTTAGCGTTACCGTGGGGTTTTCCGTTTAAAATCTTTATTTATGAACATTATTTGATGAGATTTACAACAACACTGTTAAAAAGGTTAATGAATCTTCAGAATGCTTGGTTTTTAGGCCGACGGCAAAATATCTTTACATATTTATTTAATGTAGCTTTTATGACAAATTTAGTATTCATGAATCAATGTGATCATTTATATTGCCCAGCATGATCCATTTTAGAATTGAATATAGAATATTGAATAAACCTGTTGCAGAGTGGTTAAGGTGGTTGAATTCAAACCATTTACCTCTCATGGTCTAAGGTTCCAATAACCGAGTGACTATGAACTCTTTCATGTAAGGTACCTATCAGACAAGCTATATGGATCATTGGTGGTTCTACTCGAGTGCCTGTTCATACCTGAAATAATGCACATCAGGAATTAACCCTCAGTAAAGCTGGAAAGTGGTCATATGATCTTTACAATTGTTGATGTGACTAACAACCCAACCAACCAATCAATCAATCAATCAACTGACTCCATCAATATTGATGTCTGAATTGCATTTCGAACTGAGGCTACTGAATATTCATATTCAAACTAATTCTAGTAATAACAAACTGCTTCATCAACTTCACTATTTTATTTTTAGCTCGTCTGCTTCGGAGAAGAGGTCAAGCTATTATGATCGCTTCAGAGTTGTTGTTAGTGTTGTCATCATTCAAAAACTTTAATGTAGGCCAATACTCTTACAATTTTAAAGGAATTAATATGAAACTTGGAATACTTTCTTAAGACAAAGGGGCATAGTTCTGAAAGCTATATTTTTGGAATTTTTTGAGTTATGTCCCTTTTTAACATAGAATTTTGGTCAAATGTGGTTATTTTAAGAGACGAGGGTTAACACAGCATGCCATGCTCTTGTTCAGTCTTTCAGTAACACAAATATTACTGTAGCTCATTTTTAATCTCCATCTTCAGGAAAATCATTGGACAAGATTATGGAGCTGAAGGAACTGGCTGGAGAGAGAGACATGTTTGATGTGATGAAGAAAGAAGAGAGAAAGAAGAAGAAACAAGAGGAGAAGTTACAGAATCAGCCGGACGGACAATATGTACCAAATGTGTTTGACATCATAAACAGAAAACTGCATGGGAAGAAAGGTAATTGGATTAGACTTAATTGATTGTTGAAACTTGGAAGATTTTAGCAGCCTTTTTTTGTCATATAATACTATTTATATGTTACTATTATTTCTTGGATGGATGGACATATAAATTTGCCCCCATCTGTCCGTGAAGATTAAGTCTGGAGACTTACAGTAACTAAACAATGGAATGTGGGGGCATATGTGTCGAAAGGACACATTTGTCGTTAATTCAGAATTGATTGACCCAACTTACAAAATGATATTGACTATCCTAGATAGTTTATGCTCAACATACTTGTACTAGAACTGCTTTTTATACTCTACTTATGTGGTTAGCAGGTTGCAATCGGGTTGGTCAGTATGTTTGTCCTAGTATTCTAATCAAATCATTAACTTGGGAAAGAATAAGCCTACGGTAAAGTTGAGAAACTTTGTAGAGACATTTCCCTCACTTGCTTTTGAGGTCATTCAGGAAAAGGTCACAGTCAGAGTCACACTTTTTGTAAAACCCCTTTTCGATCAATAACTTTTGAAGAAATGCCTATCTTTGTGAATCTTAGTATAGGGACATTGTCTATGGCCAGTATATGACCTCTGTGGAGTGATCCATTTTTTCTGTTAATAAATCAGTACTATAACAAGTATAATTTAATTGCATTTTCAGTATAGAGAAACAATCAAGATAAAAGAATTGTACATAATTATATTTATAACATTTATAACATTTTTTTTATCTAAAGCAAGCCTATACTTCATACAAAACTTGAATAAGATAGTGAATAGGTTATATGTCAGGCATTTCCCTGCATATTTTGGGAAAATCACCTTAAAGGAGCTCCACTGAGGTCAAAAAGGATATTCATACAATTAAAATTCTTATATGGAGCAAGTGGAGAATTCAGTATCAAAAATAGACAAAGGGAAATAAAGAAATATTCTCAGAATCAAATTTTAATATTAATTTTTAAGCTATTTTTAGTCTGATTTGAGTAATTTAGGTCATTTTGCTCAATGAAAATGATAATTCTGGTAAAACTGAGTAAGGGAATGATGGTACACAAATCTATCAATCCTTTCATGTAAAAAAAAAAACACCCTCAGTGGAGTCCCTTTAAATATTTGAGAATATTTGATTTTACAAAATGTGCTAAGTTTGTACAAGAATCAGCAGATATAAAGTAGGCTGACCAAGTTTTACAATGTTTGTTTATCAGTTTTTATTATAATCTTATATAGAAATTCCTTAAACTTCAAGTGGACTTGTAGAAATTAAAAGCAATGTAACAGTAAAGTTTGAAGATGCAAACTGTATAAATTGTTCATAAGTAATGGATTTTATGTATGAAATTGATTCAGAAATAATTCAATTATTATCTCAAGCAAAGTTAACAAATTTAAGCATATTAAGCTGTAAGCATTAAAATGTCTTTCTTTCTATTCATTGAAATATGAAAAAAATATGGATGTCATGTAAAAATTCATGCTTATGACTGTTCATATATGATCCAATAAAATGCCCACAATAGTTTCAAAATCACTTCTCGTAACATGTCCCATTGTAATTTACACAACTTCATCTTGCGAAATACTTCTCTGAACCTTCTTTCGTACATTCTCTCTAAGCCACTCGAGCCTGGCTTCATTCATTCCTGATTCTATATCACTAGTCACATTTAACCCCTCTGTATTGATATTGGCCCGTTCCAGAATAGATAACGCGCTCAGTCGACGTCTATTTAGGGTGTCAATCAAAAGAGAAGACGGGGCTGATAATCTTCTGGACATTGACCTGTATCCCCCTGGTGCTGACTTTTTAGAACTGGATTCAAGGGAATGCATAGCTGTCTGGACAGAGTCATGACCTTTGACCCTCGTTTGACCTGTATCGCTATTGGTTTCATGTTCATTGAGTATTTGAAATCTTGGATGTAAATTTGGGTCTTGTGCATGTAGCAGCTTTTGTTGGAAATCTTCATTTTCACTTCGAACATAATCATATGGGCTGGATTCATCAAAAGACATAGATTTCATTGGATGGCGTTGATGACCTTTGACCTGGTGATTGGAGAACTGCTGCCGTCTAGCAAATCGGCTGGACATGATTGCTCCGGTGTCTTCAGTGAAATCTGCATGATAATGATCTCTTTCATTATCCTCTGTGTAATTGAGATCAAGTTTCGGGTCCGTTCTAGGATATCTGATAATGGAATCGTTCGTACCGTGATCCAGAGGGTCATCATGCAACACAAGACTCTGAGGATCCCATACAGTTGTTTCTTCCATGATTTCAGACAAACTGCCAAACATCATCTCCAAATTATCCTCTATATCCATTTGAGGATGTTCAAAGCTAAAGTTATTTTCAGTAACAGAGACTGTGTCAGTAAATAGTCTCTCTTCCCTTGCAGTTGCTAAGCAACTGTATTTTTCCAGTTCTTCGCGATTTCCAAATTCAGAAACCAGTCTTATGAAGTCAACAACACCAAGACTGGTTCTAAGAGTTTTGTGTAACTTATTTTTCACATTGAAGGCTTCATCTTTAAGGTCAGTATGGTTATCTTTATCTTCAAGTTGTGACAGCAGACGTCTTTCAATACACCGAACAGCATCTTGTAAATTCCATTTGACCTGTAAACAAAAATATTGTTAATT